TTAAAAGCGTTGTTTAGGTTATAGGATTCCCCTTAACGATAGAGCTAAAGATCATCAACATCGCGTCACATCAAGTAAAAGTCGTAGTCTAAAACGAATATACTGTAACTGAGGTCAACATTGGTCTCATTTTTAATCGAGTATGGTGTAATCGTAAATTGAATCCATTCTTAACCCTTCAAATGATCTTATCGCCGCAGATATGCAAACCGACCCTTAAATTCTAATCTGTAATAATTACGCAAAAAATAACTTTAAAGCAACGTAATACAGTCGAAATTCTCTATTTATAATCCTACCTTTTTAATTTGTAGTTTTTAGTACAGTTAGACAAAATAATCTTTAATACAAGGAGTGTTAGGTTTAATTTGACGTAACGTATTTGTGTTTGGATAGGGTGGTTTCGATTTTCGCAACATTTGTTTTTTTATTAATATTATGTCACAGTGTGACCTCAAACGGGGATTTGCTACGCATCTGTGTTGCAATTTTTCTCTCTTCTCTGTTTATACCTACATATTTCTTCGATCTGAAACTAGAACATCTATCATTTGTATTACCATTTACAATCAAGAGGAATGTATACGTTATGCATGTGACGTATTTTTTAAATTTTTTGTCATCCTGTCTAATAATCTTCGATACCGATTTGCTAGTTTCTATAAGATATTTCAAGTAGACGTTTTCGTTTTAAGCTTTAAGTTAAGCTTCGGCGTTAATATAAGTTCCGAAAATTTTACAATTTATCATCACAATGTAAAGTCATTGTTCGTTTTGGCGGGAAAGCGTGAAATTGAAAATAATCGGATACACAATGCGAAGGATCGGTTTCGGAACGGAATTCTATTGGTAAATAATAAAGGTGGTGTGTAACGGACATTTCAATCTGTGCAAAATTACATAGTCATCGCCATACGTCTTGACCACAGACCGCAATACAGCTAAGGGCATAGACAACAAAAAAGCGCCAGCGAAATTCTATTTATAAGTTATGCATAATCTGTGTAATAGACATAATGAAACTTTGGTTTAAATATAACCTATTCCGTATTTTTTAACAAATTAACGTAGAAAAAATGCAATAAAAATTAATATAACGTTAAAAGCTTCTTTTAGACAATATTTCTTTGAGATTTTCTCGAGTCCCACAGCTGAGTAAAAGTCACATTTCCTACAGATTGATTATAAAAATATTCCCTTCGCTAACAGAAAATGTCGTGAAATATCTTTTATCCTTTAAACACATTGTATCTAGGATGTCGATATACAGATTATTTGTAGTCAATTTTGTTGAAATTGCAAGTAATGCGGTCACAATAGATACATAATTGTGAGCGAAGGCGGCAAAGCGACAATAACGCGAATTAACGCGTTTTGTAATATTTATGAGTTATGGGTATCTTGAGTGATGGACCGGTTTTTAAAATACTTGCCACTTATAAGATTAGGTATATTTGGGGTAAGCTGGATTTTTGTTATGAAATGAATTATTTTTTTCAATAAAAAAGCTAGTATACTATGTATAGTTTTAGTGATAAACTATTAATTAACCGATAGACAAAAATCTTACCTAGGTATATAAATAAAACACTTTAACGGTATAAAACGGGATATATATTAGTTAAACTTATTTGGAAATTATCAATCGTCGTTTGATTAATATATAAGGCGTTTTAAACTATTAAAGTGTTTTATTTAAATGTGTGCGTACTACTCGCATAAACAACAGACAGTGTCTTTTATCTAGGTAATTTTTTTGACAAAATGATCATACAATCTTATGTTAATTCACCTATGAAGTAGCGTAATAAATCTTTATATATGTATGTGGAGGATATAGATCTAAACTGTTTTTCATTTGTTTCCCTATGCTTATGCAAAATAAGAACAATGCACTTCCCTTCGAAATAAATTTAGTTCCATGAACAATACCGCATCGTGTAGAGGCTTCGGTATTTTGTATGGTAATGGCCTAAGTCACAAGCTCATCCTTGTATTGTTGTTATAAGTTAGCGAAAAATAACGTTTTTACTTGAACAAAATCTACTGCATAAAGCTAAGATATTTTAAAGTTAACATTTTTTGATTATCAGAAAATATTGCTGTAAATGGTAAAAAATATGCATTAAAAATGGCATGATGTTCGTAAGAAACAGAAGTGATATGTTATGTTTTATATACGAATTACAATAGTGTTTATGGATTGGCACAGTCGACACAAGTAGGACTCGAACCTGCGACAGACGTATTTAAGTCGATTACATCACGATTTTTAGGGGTTGCAAGAGAACTTATTAAATTCCGAAGTAAAAATTTTGTCCCAAACACCAGGCGTTCAGAATGCAAGGGAAGGTTCAGTCCAACACTTTTTCAAAATCGTGACCGGACCGTCACGAAGCTATACCGTTACAAGCATACGTGCGTCTCTCTCTCACTTAGCATGTTGCGCTTACGACGAAATGAGATACGAGATTTAATTTCTATTGGCTATTCAAATTAAATTCAGTTTATTAATTCTGGATCAAGTAATTGTTTTTCGCGAAAATTTTAAAACAGTTAAATACAATTTGGAATTCATAAATGGCTTATTTTACAAACTAAAAACAACGTTTACGCGAGTAGTCCCGATTTAAATAAACCACTGTTAACGGTTTAAAACGCGAAATGTACTAGTCAAACTACTAATGAATTTCGCATCTTAAACTAAATTCAAATAAGTTTTAAATGGATTTTTAAACGTGTGTGTCATGTAAGTTAAATTTTATAACTAAATATAGTATGTTTATTAAATTGAATGCCTACTTTTCATTGGATCATAAAGATATCTCTGTTCAATGTTGTAATAACATTAATCGTTTGAATATTTTGGTGAATATTTATCCCAGTCCATTGTCCGTTTGTGCCCTAAAACGCGCATTCCATGTTTTCAAATTAAATCCTAACGATAGATCAGCTTGATTTTAGTGTTCTTACGAAATCTTTTAGCTTTCATAAGCGTATGTGAATCTTGAGAATTATTAATAATTGTTTCTAAAACGATATTGTCCATCCAATCAAGTGATCGTGACTTGGCGTAATCTGAAACTATTGAAAGCCCCGCTGACGCAATGTTAAAAACTTTTGTGAGCTTGTCGGTTATGTATGTAAAAGAATTGACACGTGCCTAAAAATGTTTACGATATCGTTCTTTGTTTTACTTAAGTGCTCTTACGACTTAATATAGATGTTGTATAGCTACAGAGTATATAAAATAACAAACAATGAGTTTGTAAAAATATTTTTTATATGTGCAATTAATTCTCTGTTATCTATACTAATAGTCGCTGACACAGCAGGTTACTATATAACCTAAAATGTTTTAGCGATCACAGTGATAACAGTTTGAAATTAATTACACCAAATTCTTCGTTCTTTCAAAGTATCGTATAACCTTATTTATGATAACATACATTAAATTGTACAACCAGATCAATATATCATGTTGCATTGACTTAAAACTGTCATCAAAAGAATCAAGCTATAAATATTTAAAGAGGCAATAATTTCTCCAAGTTAAAGTGATATTTGAGAAGACCCGAATCAAACAATCAAAAGTTAATTTGGTTGCAAAGTAGGTAACGGCGCGAGAAGAGTTGTGGGTGGTCTTTAGATATATATTTGTGCATATATATGACAATGTATATAAGGCTTTTATGGAGAACTTTATAACTTGATACATTTAATGATAATCTAGGAACGTTCTGATTTTTTAAATTTGCATTAATAGGAGGATTATTTGATATATGAGTCTTGGAAAACATAATCATTTACATATATTATACCATACACTGACTTTTATATTATTATTTAGGTCTATTAGATTAAAGCTTATTACAAAAGTTGCCATCTTAGTAGTTTAGGCAAGGTATTAAGTTAAATTAAATATTAAATAATCAATCAAAGAGACTAACTTCTGTAATATATATTTAATACACTATTCCATTGAAAAAACTTAACAGAAATAAGATTATATAGGTCAAAATTTAACACCAAAGTGGATAAAACCAAGGCTAAGAATATCCAATTATTTATTATAAGACTAGAAAATAGATATCTTATTATTAGTAAAATTTAAAATAAGTCTTGCAAAAAAGCAAGGCCTAGTTTATTTCAGTTGCTGTTTCCTTGGATCGATGCGAGATTTAAGTGACTAAGGTGTGGTAGATAGTTTCAACGCAATCGATCCATGTACGCCAGCCGCAGTTGGAGAAAGTTACCCATCGGATAAAACATTTATTACTATTGCATATTCATAATACCCTAAGGCTCAACGACCAGACTAACTTGAGCTCCGTCTAACATTCACACGAGTTGAAATACTACTGGGGTAAGTAAGCGTGAAAGTTCTTTGATAAATAGTTAGCTGTTCGAACATCGAATGCAATAGCCCGTATGTAAAAGGTGTACTAATATTTACTATAAGATCATTCAGAATAAAACAATAACTAGACTATGTATTATGAAGTAATTATAAAAAATCTAAATAACGACGCAACAACGCAGATCATTAAAAATACTATATGTATATATTATTAAAAGAAGACACGCCTTACCCAGTTGTTTTTATACCGTCGTAAACTTAAACTATCTATCAATATAAAGATAAGGAAAAGATACTCAAAATGAAACAAGGAAATAATTTAAAAAATTCGCGTGTGTATTCATAAATAAATTAACTATCAACTATTTACACGAAATAAATAACTTAATTAATAACGGAACCGCGACCGTCTAACAAACGATTTGGTAATACTTTGGAACTTAACGAATCTAGATATCACAACGTATCGAACATCGAGAACAATAAGTCGCCGTCTCCCCATTCCGGGTCCGAAGTGAGTTATTATCCCCATAACACAATAATACGCGTCGCAAACCTAACGCGGTAACACCGTACCCAATGCCAAGTGACAAAGCCACCAGACACCTCATAATGCATCCCGTGGACACGTCAGTCGACGTCAACCACCTTGATCGTTTTTGAAAGCCTTTCCGTCCCAAGCCTTGAACGAAGTGCTCGCTTCGGCGCGCGGACTACTAGTATAATTCGGCTGTAATCTAGAGGGAGACAGAAAGCTACCGTACGACAGAGAGGAGTTGACGCCGAGTGACGTGTCAAGAGTTGAGTAATACCCGGAGGAGGCTGCTGACGGTGGTGGGGGCTGTTGTACTCTACTAGCCTCAGCGTAAGCGTCCAAATGAGTACGAACAAGAGATACGAGCTCTCCGTAATTGGTTACAGCAGTGCCAGCCCCCGCCACTCTGTACAGCAGCAACCTCGCCTCTCCAAATAAACTGTCCAAAATTTTACCTGTCGTGAAGAGGACGATCGCCTTCAGACAGGAGTACTCCGCGGAGTCAACGTGAAGCGCTTTCAGCTTCTCCACTTGCTCTTGGAAGATTCTGATGTGGTCCATGAAGGCCACCACTCGGTCAGCTGCCATAGGTGACGCGTGGAGACCAGCCGCCGCGAGTAAGGGAGCTACATGGAGGGGCATTGAACACTGTGACGCGTTTAAGACGAACAACTCCGACCAGACTAGCCTTAATAACGCTACTTGGTCTGTAACTTGGAGTTCGGGGAAGAAGGGGATATTTCTCGCCCACTCGACGGCTGAGAAGAGTAACCGTGCTGCTAATTCGCAAATGTTGTCTATGCCCATGACGTTCGTGGTTTGGACGCATTGGCCATATCTTGAGGTCGGGTAGGGTTCTGCTCTGAGAAGCAGCGAGATGTAGGAGGAGAGGTAGGGATGGTTGAAGCTGGCTGCGGGGTCGCCATTTGTTAAGGCAAATTGACCCGGCAGCGCCAATCCTGGAGGTTGCGTCGGTGGAACTCTTCCTCTTTGGACAGCTGAAACAAAAGTGAATAGATTAATTTACAAAATTCAGTTACATGAGAAACAAATATTTGTTACAAGGAAATCTTCCATGACTATGCTGTGACAGTATTTCTTCAATAAATGCTATTTTAACAAAGTTTTTAAACGACGTTACAAACTTACTTCGTTTTACGATTAAAGTTAAATTTGGCAAGCAGTTATGTAAATAGTAGAAACGGTCCATAAAAATTGCAATTTCAGAATTATTACGAGATAAAACGGAGTTATAAAGACACAGCTATTTTACAGTAGACAATTAGCATGTAACCACAAGATATAGCTGTGGTCGTAATGGCTCAGTTTATGGCTTCACTAACAACTGTCGGCAGAGTTTGGCGCATAAATTAATATTCCTTCCTATTAATACATCACACGCTTTTAACAACATACTATATAGTTATACCTATTTTTTTTTATAAAGTATTATTATTAATTTTCTTCCTATATAACTCTTGTTCTGTTTTAAAATATGTCTATACAATAATTATATTACAACGTAAAGTCAAGCTTTATTATTAATAGAGCATAGTATAAATAATATATACTTTTTACCCCACTCGCGAGACAATTCTAGCATTTATTTCTGTTCCCAAGATGCCGTAACATTGAAATCTAATCCAAATTTGTTTGAGAAAAAATAGATCTTGCGTCAAAATGTCGTGATGATACCACTTGCTACGGGTATAATGCGTTTTAAATTGTCGTGAAGCAATACCTGACCCTCTGACCTCGTGGCAGGTATTACTTTCTGTTTTAAATGCGATTTTATGAGTTAAATGCTATTACGTCTCAATTTAATGATCGATTTGCTGATTCAATGATAACTTATGCCCTAATTTAATCTGTGGCGATGTTAAAGTAATATTTTTTAAGTAAGTAAATAATTAGTATAATATAAGGATAGATAGTTAAAACGTTTCAAAATAAAATAAATAGTCTTTATGTAGAAAATATTTCCTGTAGTTCCCATATATAAGTACACATATAAATTTCATAGAGATGATGGGAGGATAATCTTAATTTGTGTTTCGTATTAAACGAATGAATTTTTGTGACTTTGTACTTGTAAAAAAACAAATATACTTTCCCGTTTTATGCTGTATAATATAATACATAAGCGATTAGATTTAAAATGTTTTTGTCTTAGTATGCCTAACAAACAGACATAGAAACGTTTAGCAACGTAATGACACCAAATATGGCAACATTACGGTATCAATGCCTTATCTGTTTTGGATAAATTCTGAATCATCTCTATTATGTTCTAATGACCATTTTACCCTTTAAAGGTGCCTATAATGATACAACGATATTGTCAACGCGTTACAGACTAAAAGAGAAAATGTACTCATTACGTGCACAGAATGACAAATAAGTTTAATACTTCTAAACATATAATATACGTTACCTATAAGTGTAATTGCCACCAAACCACTATTTTAATTTAAGGTATATTTTGATCTTGTAATTATCAATTATGAATAATGTGTAATCTCCGTATTCCACAGAAAATAATTATTCATTATATACTCTACAGATTATTAAGGCTTATCGAAACCTAGAAATAACTTAATATAACAGATAAAAAATACAAAATGTATACCATAATATATATTGCAACCTCTGTGGTCTATTAGGAAAAAACATTGTGCCTAAGCTAAAATATTTTTAAAGTAAAAACTCAGTCGTGATTTAGAGTCGTGTTGGCGGCGATTCCGAATTAGTCGTGGAAATACGCGGTTGATTGAGCACTAGTTCCGAAACGGCGTTAAAATGTCACATCGAAATGTCAAGTGCGCTTGGAATGCGCGCTTTTTTGAAGCTTAGAAGTTCGAGATGACGTGCGCCGACAAATGCGCGCGCACGTGTCTAATTTTTTATTTATTTTTAATCTGCTCCGCGGCTGTTAGTTGAAATTTTCAGACATTAAATCATTTGATACAACAATAAATAGGATATTATAGATAGAACAAAGAGAAATAAACAGTTCTCTTGATCGTTTATAATTATTTATCTCGGTTTGTAGTTGGTGACAGAAATATTTTTGTCTTTATTATTTGTAATATTTTCCTAACAGATAACAATAGGTATATTTTATAATATACCTATTGTTATCTGTTAGGAAAATATTACATTTACCTAGATGTCATAACGTACAATGCAACAAACATTTAACAGTTACATAAACAATTCAATTAAAGAGTCGGTGCAATTCCGCTCGAATTAGAGTAATTGCCGGTACGATTATCCGGTTTCGAATGTAGGCTGAGTATAATCTGTGGTTGATTCTCCCACGCCGCGTCGACACCTAGTCTAATAGCACGTCATTATTATCTGTCGATACATCGGAACATCACTATCTAATCGATGGATTGCTTAGCTTGACTAATTATACTTTTAGTTTTGTGATAAAGCTCTCTACAATGGCTTTGTATCAACAGATGTTTTAATTTTTTAATAATTTTAACGGCAATATAATAACAATATACGACCATTATTATTATATTTGTTACTTTATTTAGCACAAATGTAACTATGATTGAGTACTAGTAGTGTGAGTTATTTAGTTAATATTAAATACTTAAGGTAAAATTTTAAAAGCATTATAATATATATTGTAATAAAAAAACACTTTAAGATTTAAAAGAAAATATTTAAGTCAAAATGAGCATTTTATCTATGGTCTGATATTTACCGTTGGCTTTCCATCGGTAAAATCAATTTTAGTATTGTGATAAACTGTATGATACGAAGTAAATCATTCAAATCTATGATTCGGTCCGCGTTTTATGTTAGGGCTGTTTCATACTGTTAGCTTTTTACAATCTTTATGTCCCGCTGTTTATTATTAGCTTACCTATATTTAATTAGGATAAATACATGGTAATAAGGTATTCGGCAATGACAGTCTAATAAATTGTGTAAGGCTTTCACGGCCACCGTTCAGCGTTCGCGAAACTTCGAGAACCTCTTCTCGCCCTCATCGGCGGAACCAGCCCGTAAGACAATGATATAATGACAGTCTAATTAAAATCGTTGGGTTGGTTCAAGACATTAGACGATGAAATAATATAGAAATAACTTAATTCTTAATAAATATACCAATTTTGATTCATTTGGAGATAAGTATAGACTAATAATAATGAAGTGGAAAATAACTAAAAAGCTTTTATATCTGCTGGAGGACAAACTCACAAATTTACATAATTATGAATTTGGACATAAGAATTTCTCCTAAAACGTTTCGCTTTAGATCGGCGTCCGCGCATTCTTCTGCGGATTAAGTGAAAATTAACGCTTTTTATTATAATTGTGTTGGTATTTAAAGCCTGATTGGTTTGTTGATTTTACGATTAGATACGGTATTCTGTGTTTAATATTGATTATGTGCTATTAGAGAACCAATAGACATTTGAATAATCTACATTTTTATGTTGGCCTACCAATGACTGACTGAATTTTCGAGTTAATTTACTCCGTAAGTCAATCGTTTTTTAGAACTAGCCAAAAACATGACCAAGGTACATAGGGTATAACAGTCACCAGTGTTGGCTAACGGTCTTATAATCTACCACACTCGTCTCGACGAAATTATTTGTGAGCAGGTAACAAAATATTATGTTTAAAAACACTTTTCACTAAGAATAGTACGCTTTCGAGATTGAAAAATTAACATTAGTCTTGTAATATCTACACTAGTAAACTAGAAGATAATGTAGTCATTATTATTATTACAACTATAATTTATGAGTTATACAACTAACCAATTTGTTTAATAACTAAAGTTAATAACTAAGTATATTGTTTAGTTTGCATACTCGTTACATAAATTATGTATTGGAAATAGCTTCTTGCGCGTGTCATCAACTGTCAGCTATTATTTTACAGGGCATAACTTTTTTGATTGGTTATTCACGATTTCGAATAATAACGTTAAGTAAAAGTATCTACTGCATTAATACAGAAATTTAGTATATAACATGAACATATAAATTGTTTGGTAGTGAAAAGTTTTTTTACTTCTTTAGTGAAGTTATGTAAAAAAGTTTATCATCAATAAATTATTAACTAGAAAATGTAACTTACTTTTATCTGTACTAATATAATATATCAAGCTGAAGAGTTTGTTTCTTTTTTTACGATGGCTTTGCAAGAATGAAGGGACGCGGGAGACGTGGGCAATAGCTTAAATTTATAAAAAAGATAAGCATAGAAGTCTGCAAAAATGAGCGCCCAAAATAACAATTCTACGTAGACGAAGTCGCTGGATAGTTAGTTGATTTATATGAGGATGTTGCATAAATTTTTACCGTTTTGTTATTATTTATGAATATAAGTATGTAAACTCTTTAAGTGCGAAATTTGAAATCTAACCACGCCTAACCCATTTACGTGAGTGGACTTAAATTCCGTACAACAAAACAAAATTAAACTTTGTCGTTTAATTTTGAATTATGCGTGGTGCGTAGAGAATTCATATTTCTTTAGCGCTAAGTGGTCTTGACACAGATAGTGTTGTCTTAAATCAAATGGACTGTATGACCATATTTATCTGCAAATTAAAAAAATGTATAAATTATGCTGAAAAACAGACGAAGATAAAAAGAACACAGACTAAGTCGCGAATTGAAAATAAACGAATCACCTAATGTTTTAAAACAACGGAAACTAACTACGCTCTAAAATAGGTGATAACAAAGCCACATAGTAGTGGTAGGTTAAAGTTTTAGGTAGATATAGAAATAAAAACCTTAATATATTCAATAAGTACCAAAAATATTTACCTATGAATAAAAACTAGTCTAGCAACTCTGACCAAGAAATACCTAGCGAACGAAATATATTGCGTAAATACCTTATTAAATTCTTATATCTGAGGTGTATGATTTTTAGACAATATTTAGAAACGATATCTATACAAAATATCTTTTATATACTTCACGAGTAATTTATTCATCTAAGTTTATACAAATACAAATAAAATAACAAACTGTAACATAAAACACCTTCATAAATCTTCGTCACTATTGATCTCCGGCCATAATAATTGTCATAGAGTCGTAATATACGTCTAATACCTAGTTCTATCCTTGTGTCCTTACTAATTACGTTGACAGAGATTTATGCAGCGTCACTTGGTAATATTATGTTTAGAGTAATACGCTTAATAATTTTGTCATTTCA